ATATATATATATACACACATATATATATATATATACATACACACACATATATAGGATATCATTTTATATGAAATTTTTTTTATTTAAACTTTAATTGCTTTTAAGATATGTATTTGATATCTTAATATTGCATGCATGCATATATATATATACATGCAATATTAAAACAAGTGGAATTATAATAGAATTTAAATTATACCTACTAAAATTTAATTTAATATTTATAACTTCATATATATATTTTCTGATTATTTAGAAATATTTAAGTATATTTTATGTCTAAACTGGTTAAAGCAGACCATGTTCAAATATTTACATGGTTTAATATATATAATTAAGCGTTAGAAAATTATAGTTATTAAAATTGAAATTCTGATTAATTCAATTGTGATATGTAACGTGAAACTAATTAGTGCATTGTTTTGAAATGTCTCACCATTTACATATTAGTCTGATAATTAGAATAGAATTTTTATTCTGCCTCATTTTAAAAAATTATAGACCTATAAATTCCCACTGTTGTCCGTCTGTCTTTCCTTAATCTCTAGAACATTTTTCTTGCAATTTTTGTGCCTGTTAAAGTACAGTAGGCATCTTCCGTTCCTTCCTTGTTACTCTAATGTTGCCAACTTTGATGACACCTCAAGAGCAGCAATGGAACATCAGAATTTGCACCAAAACAAAGTACTGTATGTAATAGAAATAAATCCAAATTAATTAATTATTAAAAATTTATGTTTTACTGGCTAAAGACTGACTTTGACACTACCCCTTGAGTGGCAAGAGAACTTCAGAAAATGCACAAAATTTAAATTTTAGATGTACGTCAAATTCTTCATAAGTAGGGGAATGCCTATATATATATTTATACAGATAATAAAATTTTATGGTTCTGTATATTTAAAGTGGATTTCTACAAAGTCAGCACATAAACACTGAGAATATATGCAAAAAATGATGGCTTTAACTATGTGAAAATGATATAATAATAATCTAAATAAGAGTAGAGAATAACAATAATGGCATTTAATTATATACATTTGTTTTTAAATTTATAATTAAGAAATATATTTTATTATTTTAAATGATGATTGAATATATGATTTAAAAACGTTTTAAGGCAATCCGTAAAAGTATTGAAAGCTGCCGAACCAATAGACGCCTTAAGTAATTTGATCTCGAGTTTAAGAGTGGCGTTTGGCTTCGTTTCAGAAGAAAATCCCGTTTCAGGTTAGAATAATTATAATTTATGATATTAATAATAACTTGTTTATTATCTAAAAATATTTTCAATATGTGGGCATTAATATGTATAAGTGTAAGAAGAAAATGTTATTTAATACCAAATTTTTATAATCAATTTTTTATTATTTAAATTTTATATAAGGAGAATTAAAGTTAATAATAATCATCCATTTTCAACTAATTGTACATTAAGAGTTTAAAAATGCCTTTAAAAAAATTATAATAAGCTTAAAGTATATTACATTTATAATTAAATTTAAATATTTCTTGTTTTGTGAAGCTCGTAACATATACAAGTTGATGATATATAAAAAATGTTTACCAATTAGTATTGAGAGGAAAACGTCGATTCAAATATTCTAATTATCTGTAAGAACAAAATATAAAATCAGAATGAATGTAGAATAAAATTAACTAAACAGAATTATTTTGAAAATACATACAATTCCATTTAATAAAGCACTGGACCAGGAAGCGGGTCACTTAAAAGAGCACTTTTCTGAATTTCCAATTTACTCTTATGTTTTAATTAGTGGAATTCCTTTTAATGGAGCAACAGCTAGTAGAGCGGTTTGCTTAAAATTGTGTTGGCACAGCAGTTTGCGTAAGAGAGCACCACTATAAAGGCTGCTATACACGATAAGTTAATCCTTTGAGGCTGACTGTCCTTGAGGAACTTCCAAATTTCCTATCGCCCAAAAACGAAGAAAACTTCTCAGCAAAGGGTGGGGCAGCTTGCCCCGGGCGCCACTGGCAGAGGGGAGCCAAATGGTTTCCAAGAAAAACAAAATTTGTTTCTGGAGGGGGAGGGGGCGCCAATATAGTGTCGCGGCCCGGGTGCAGTTATGTTCGCTACGCCATTGTGTTTATTATTACGCCACTGATGTTTATTGGCAACAAATTCTATTAAAACTCGCGGGAAAAAAGTATGCATAGAAGTCTATGGTGTAAATAGTAGTAGTAGTGGTTTGGGTAGCACTGATCACAAAATTAATTTTTCATATGAATAATTTTTTAATGGAATTATTTCAGATCACAAAATTAATTTTTCAAGAGAAATCTTGGGCTATAGATTATGTTAAAAAGCATCAATTATCAGCGAAAGACAATGGCAAGTCGATTTTACTACCAAAAAAATTCATGGATTAAATTTTATAGACGAATATATATTAATAATTCTCAACCACATCCGATATTAGTACAAATTGTAAACATTATTATCGCAAATTAATTTTATAATTTAATAATTAAAAAGAATTTATTAAACTTTGTCTTATTTTAAGTTGTCATGTTTTAATTTACTTGGATATTAAAACAATAAATTTTTTAAAATGTAGAAGAAAATGATAAAGAGTATCAAGATGTTTTATGAAAACGGAAGAAATGAATTGAGAAGTTTTCTAAATATTAAAATTATTTATAATTTTAATTTACTCAAGAAATTTTTGATCCGAAAATAATTTATAACCTGAAAAATTAATTTATTAGGTTATAAATAATAAAAGTTAATAAGGTTATAGAAAATAATTCTTCCAAATATTCACGAGACATTGTTCTCACACACGTTTAGGTCGGCCCGCGCAGTGACACTGAGCCAGGAAAATCAAATGGTTTTTCAATTCTACTCGGGTGGTCGGTACAGGTCGCCAAAGCTGTTAAATTGTCCCCCTATAAACTACCAAGAATTATAAAGGTCAGGCATGCATGATTACTCCTTTGGGGATTAACCTAACGAATATGCACAATTCTACTCAGGTGGTCGGTACAGTTTGCCGAAACTGTTAAAATTTCCCCCACACACTTCCAGGAATGACTCAAAATCAGGCATGCATGGTTACTCCTTTGAGGATTAACCCATCGTGTATAGCCGCCTTAAGAAAGCTTTATTACCATCTGTCTATGGCATGCAAGGTGACGGAGATGTCTACACTGGTGTTTCTCAAACTTTTTGCTCACATTCTCAATATATTTAATGGTTCCACTACCCAAATGTCTATAATATAAAATTTTTTTAAAAAACCTGGTAAACTGGAGTCATTGAATATTATACAATGAAATAAAGTTGTGAATTACTGATGATACTTTCTACGTGTGAAATGTAATATCACATGCATTTATGTTAAGAGCAGTACAGACCAATTTAAATTTGTAACAAACAACTTACTTCAATTTCAGTTTTAGTTTCCCAGCTGTTATGTATACATAACAAGGGATGGTATTGGAATCGTGTAGAATTTGACCTTCCGAGTTTTTTGCAAATCTCCATTTGCAAATCCAAAAGTATAAAAAAAAACAGCAAAAAAATTCTGTGTGTGTTGGCAAAATATTTCACTTAATATCTGAGGATGGGGTAAAGATTAAGAAGCAATATTTGGTGTGTTGGCTTGTATATGAGAGGCATTGATGCTGTTTAATTTTGGTGGGGAGATATGGGGGCCTCATGTATCTTAACAGGAGTAAGACTTAATGAAGATTTTATTCTTTATTACCATTTATACTTTTTCATAAACTCATCCTTACCCTCAAAATTAAGGTTTTTGTCATTTTATAGTAATTAAAAATATAAACTTTTTCTAACAAAATGTGATAACAGATGGTGCCACAAACAAGTTTAGTTTTTTGTTTGATAACGTAAAAGAGTTTTTAAATAAAAACTCGTAACAGCTGGGAAAGTTACACAACTCTCGTTGCAAGATTTCTTTACAGCGAGACCTCGCAAGATAATGGTGGCACCCATGTTCGAATGAAAATAAGGCTGGAGCTGTCACTCTACCTACACTATAGGTGAAGTAGGAATGTTTTTACTGTTGATATTTGAAACTTGCCAGCTTTTCCAATACACACACTCTTCAAGATATAGTTGAAAGTATTCTAGTGTGCCACATTCTATTCTAGAAAAAGGCTATAAATTTTTTCTGGAATGTTTTCTTAATGATTGCAAATTTCAGTTAGTGTTCAAAATAGTACAATAGTTACAGAAGTAGCATATAGGAAGTACTATGGCACACCCTGTATACTACCTAAACCAGTGTTTTTCAACCTTTTTCATTGAGTGGCACCCCTGATTGAAAAATAAAAAATTGTGACACCCTTGACCAGCGGCAGATCTGAATATGGGGGCTAATGGGCTAGATAAATTTTTTTCCAAAACGAATATTACGCGCAACGCTGGGGTGGGGTCCGGGAAGGGATTCCCCTCCCTGGAAAGAAAACTTTTAAAAATTGACAATTTGAAGTAGCATTTTAATGCAAAAAAACAGTGTTTCTACGTGTTTAAAATCAAAATTTCAGTCCACTGAATTTTGTCGAAATACCTACATTTAAAATAATAGTCTCTGTATTGTTTTTTAAATTTAGTATTATTATAAAATATATCATCATTTTATATTATTATTTTATTGATAAACAATTTTTTAAAGATTTTTTATACTATTTTGATGCATATATAAAATAAATATTTCATTACTTTTTTCTTATCTTTTTCATATCAATTTAAAAGATGATAATAAATTGCTTATTTGTCATCATTGCTTTTGAATACTATGAAAGTACTGTAATATGCATCTACATTGTGCACGCTTTTCAAAGTGCAATGCAACGCTTTTTAAAGTATATACAAGACACGAGTGTCCATGTCGTTCTTCTCTGCTGGTTGGCCTGGTACTAAGACTGGGAATGTGAAGGCCGAGTAATGTGGTTTGGGCGAACTCGTGACAAGTCGTGCGTACACGTAGCGTTGAACATTACATTAACATGCGATTAGTCATCGTTGATTTGCTTACTAGATATCTCGTAGCAAAATAGAACTGACAATGAGTTATCTTGAACTACACTTAAGTAAATTTCTAAGAAAATGACTAAAGGCCCTAAACTTTGCGACACCCCAATCGTGTAGCCGTGGCACCCTAAGGTGCCACAGCACTCCGGTTGAAAAACACTGGCGTACGAGATAGAGTGAAATACTGTATTACCAATCAGAAATCCATCATCTTCATTATCGAAAATATCATTAATATCATAGGTATAAGAATTAAATATATAAGGCGACCAAGGGTCTCCCTGTAGCAACCCTCGTTCTATCAAATGGAGACAACCCTGACCTCCGTTAACTCTACAGATTATCTCATAGTGGTCAAACAAAAGAACTACCAACTTAACCAAACATTTATCAGCTTTATGTTTTAACATTTTATTTTGTAAGGCATTTCACATTCACAGAATCATATGCCTTTTCGAGATCAACAAACAGAGCATATACTTTGTCTTTTTTTGTTTAACTGCAGCTGAACAGTGGCCAACAAGACAAATAAGGTTATCTGAGTACCTCCATCCGATATAAAAGCATACTGGGTTGGATTAATCAGATTCTCGTCTTTGATCCATTCAATAAATCTTTTCGATATCATACCAGTAAACAGTTTGCGAAATGTCAAAAGTAAGGCTATCAGCCGGTAATTTGCTGGACTGGCCCTGTCTCCTTTCTTATACACCATTCGAAATATCACTCGGTTCCACGACTTAGGAATTACACCTATTACATAAAATCTATTATACTGCCTGATAATTTTAAAATTGTCATAGGAAACAGTTTTAGAATTTTATTAGGAAATCCGTCATATCCCGGGGCCGATTTATTTTTGAGCCTCTTGATACATAATTGAAGTTCTTGAATATTAAATATCTCTTCCATTGGTGCCAACCCAGATTCTTCCAATTTTTCCATTCTAGTATTAGCCAATTTCTCCTTATATCTAGTCGAAAAATTATCAAAATATTTATTCCATTCGTCTATTGGTATATTAACTGACCTTTTCCAATGTTCAACAGATCGTCGAAAACTATTGATCACTTCCCAAAATTTTTTGGAATCTTTAGTTTCTATTAAATATTTATTTAAGTTTGCATAATACCTTTTTCTTTTAGCTTTTATCAACTGATTATAAATTCTTTTGTGAATGGTTGTCTCTTTAATCCGACAAATTCTTTCGGTAGACTATCTTACAGCATCAGGTTAATGAATTCTTTTATTATATTTTACATATGCATTTCGAACTGGTTTCATATTTCCAGTTCATTTTCAGTGCTCTATAAATTACAATTATAGATATTAAGTTGACAAAAAATATATACAGATTAAAAATCAACAAAGTATTTAGATGTTAAGTAACACAACATAAACACATTACTAGTACCTTTAAGGATTTTACACATTTCTTTTTATCCTCAGT